GGGGAAACAAACCCAGCCCCCCCAGATAAGACTCCGCCACTCTTAACCACTACACCACCAAAAGGCAGTGGCCGGAGACCTCCTGGGATGACAACCGATCTCCGGGCGACACAGATCAGTTCCCCTGGAGAAAATGGCTGCTTCGGAGGCTTGAATCTATAGCATGATACCCTGTTGAGGTCCCTCCCAGTGTTCCCTCTAAGCTGAGTTAGTGTGAGCTAGCTCACATTTTTTTAGCCTCCAGCTCACACATTTTTGTCTCAGCTCAGGAAGGAGGGCTCCAGAGCAAACTCATTTATGCAGTAGCCAAATCACTCGCTCACAACCTTAATGCTAGTAGCTCACAAAGTGCAATTTTTGCTCACAAGACTCCACAGCTTAGAGGGAACATTGGTCCCTCCCCTCCCCAAACTCTCCCATCCACCCCTCCACGCCCCAAAATCTCCAGGTTATTTCACAGCCTGGAGTTGGCAACCCTGCACTCTGGGATCCCCCCCCCTTTCATTCCTAAGGAACAGCAGGCCGAAAACATCTTTTTGTGTACTGGGGTTGCTATGCAGCATAGGAAGCCGTCCGGTCAGGGGGCTGGTGGGGGGGGGCAGATGGAAGGGAAATCCCTTCCACACACACACACACACACCCCACGCTGCGGCCTCTGCCTGTCGGCGGCCCGTCGGAATCTCTGACGTTCGGGAACAATGCGCGGCGCTCCTGTGCTCAGCCTTTCCATAAACACTGGCTCCACAGAACAATCGCGGCCTCGCCAAGTGCGCAGGGCCAGCGCCACAGCCTTTCCTCCTCCTCCTCTTCCTCCTCCTCCGGACAATCCTGGGGGGCCGAGGGGTTGAGGGCTTGCAGCCCACGCAGGGCACTACCACCACCATCCCCGTGGCAAGGTGCAAGATCCCACACACACCCCGCTCCAGCAGGGCCTGTTTGCCTTTGGTCCCTAGGTTAAAATAGACTTGCAAGAAAACAGAAGCCTCGTTTGCCTATAATTTAGGATTCTCCACCTGGGACCTGGCACTGTCCTGGAAGGACAACTAATTCCCAGCTTTAAAAAGGTCCATTCTCCTGGAGGACACGGCAGCTTCAGAGGGTGCCGAGCAGTGTTCCCTGTAAGCTTAGTGTGAGCCAGCTCACCATTCTTTAGCCTCCAGCTCACAGACTTTAGTCTCAGCTCAGGAAGGAAGGCTCCGGAGCAAGCTAATTTCTGCAGCAGCCAAATCGCTCGCTCGCATCTTTAATGCCAGGAGCTCGCAAAGGAGAACTTTTGCTCACAGGACTCCACAGACTTGAGAGCCAGTCTGGTGTCGGGGTTAAGTGCGCGGACTCTAATCTGGGAGAACCGGGTTTGATTCCCCCACTCCTCCACTCGCAGCTGCTGAATGACCTTGGGCGAGCCATAGTTCTCTCAGAGCTGTCCTTGAAAAAGAGCCGTTTCTGTCAAGAGCTCTCTCAGCCCCACCTGCCTCCCAGGGTGTCTGTTGTGGGGAGGGGAAGGGAAATGAGTTTGTAAGCCGCTCTGAGACTCCTTTGGGTAGTGAAGGGCGGGATATAAATCCAATCTCTTCTTAGAGGGAGCATTGGTGCCGAGTGTACTTCCCAGGCCGCTACTTTGGTCTTACTAGGATTGGCAACCTCGAAGTGGTAGCTGGAGCTCTCCTGGGATTACCGCAAATCTCCAGGCGACAGAGAAGAAGAAGAGGAGGAGGAGGAGATTGGATTTCTACCCCGCCCTTCACTACCCAAAGGAGTCTCAGAGCAGCTTACAATCTCCTTTCCCTTCCCCTCCCCACAACAGACACCCTGGGAGGTAGGTGGGGCTGAGAGAGCTCTCTCTCGAGGACTGCCCTTGCGAGAACAGCTCTGAGAGAACTTGTGACTGACCCAAGGTCATCCAGCAGCTGCAAGTGGAGTAGTGGGGGAATCAAACCCAGTTCTCCCAGATTAGAGTCCGTGCATTTAACCACTACACCAAACTGGCTCTCAACATTCCTCCCCCCCCCAGGTTGCCAGCTCTGGGTTGGGAAATACCTGGTGATTTGGGGGGTGGAGCTTGCGGAGGGCGGAGTTTGGGGAGGGGAGGGGCTTCAGCTGGGTAGAATGCCTTCGAGCCCCCTTCCCACCAGAGCAACAGCCATTTTCTCCCGGGGAACTCATCTGTGTAGCTTGGAGATCAGTTGTAAAAACTGGGGGCTTTCCAGGTCCCGCCCGGAGATTGGCAACTATGTTCCTCCTTGCATTGCAAAAAACAGAATTTGTCCGTGGAGCAATGACAGTTCTAGCATTCAAAAAGTAAAAATAAATCCTGCAAGCCAGCAGTACTGGATTTTTTTTCCTAGTATGAGTCAGCAGAAATCAGCAGGGATCTCATTTTTTGGAACGATTGCGTGAACCGGAGTGGGGGGGGAAATGTCCAGTAATTTCTCACAACTTGTACATGCCTGTAGAAATGTCCAGAAATGACAGCCTGATGCGAGGGGGCCAGAAAGCCACCCAAAAGCCCTCGCTCTGGCCTGGACCTGACTCCAGCTGAGAACTGATGCCCCCAAGGACCTTTTGCATTGTCATTTTCAGGGCTATTTTTGGGCAGGAACGCACAGGAACGGAGTTCCGGCTGGCTCCCAAGTTGGCCACACCCAGCAGGAACTCATTAGCATAATAGGCCACACCCAACAGCAGAAACTCATTAGGATTGGCTACATTAGGGGCGTGTGGCCTAACATGCAAAGGAGTTCCTGCTACAAAAAAAGGCCCTGGGTTTTGACAACAAACAAGGTAAGCAGAATAAGAAGGGAAAGGTGGGTGTGGCTGGATGACCACACTTCTGGTAACGTGGGGGTGTGGCCTAATATGCCAATGAGCAGTGCTGTCAGGGATGTGGCCTAATATGCTAATGAGTTCCTGCTGTTGGGTGTGGCCTATTATGCTAATGAGTTCCTGCTGGGCTTTTTCTACAAAAAAAGCCCTGGTCATTTTTATCCAGATTCGAGTCCGGGAGCACTTGGCAAGGGGCGCTTTGACTCCCTGAAACTCTTGTGGGTCTTTGAATGGAGAGTCTCAGTCTTATTTTGACACATGTGTTGCTTTACAGCTGTTGACCTTACGACCTTAACGTGTTACTTAATTTATTCCTGCATGTCTTAAAACCTTTTCATCATGTTACATGTTCATTCACCGTTCAGCCCCTGTCTGGAAGTCTGAGCCTTACTTTCCTTCCAATGTATTTGCAAAAGTGTGCCTTGGACACGAAAGCTCGCACCTTGAATAAAACTTTGTTGGTCTTAAAGGTGCGGCTGGACTCTAAACGTGTCCGAATCGGAGTGGTTTGCTAGTGCTGCGATCGCATACACTGAATAATCCATTTTCTATCCACTTTCAGTGCACTTTCCGACTGGATTTTGCCAGTTCCAACAGCAAAATCCCGTTGGAAAGTGAATTAAAAGTGGATTGAAAGTGGATTATTTAGTGCGTACAATTGCAGCCTAAGGGGACGTACCAAAGTTGGAGTCCAGGGGTACCTCTAAGACCGACAAAGTTCAATTCTGGGTATAAGCTTTCCTGTGCACGCACACTTCAGAATGAACCTGAAGCAGTGTGCATGCGCACAAAAGCTTATCCCCGGAATTGAACCTTGTCGGTCTTAGAGTTGCCCC